GGCGAGAAGCTGAGAGAGAGGTCGGGGAGCCCGCGGGTAGGTACATGTGTGACAGCCGGGGATATAATACATAGAGGGACATTTTCTATTCACAGCGTGAACAGGTAAGGGAAGAGAATAATTAAAAGGTAATGATGGAGGTGATGATCAGTCTGGCGAGGTCTCATGAATGGTCAGGAGGGAGGGAGGACAGAGGTTTAGCGCAGAGGTTTACAGCAACAGAAGAAGGTTGTTGCGTTGGGGCAATGGTGCTTAAGGAAGGGAGTAACAAAGGTCACAGCGCAAGATATACAAGGGATCCATGGAAGGAGTTGACTAAATGTGCATAGTGCAGGTGTGGAGTACGGATCACTGGGAGGCTTGGGTTTGTCAGGTTTTTTAGCATGCGGTGGAGGGTGAGAATCGTACGTGTAATGAGTAGAGAGAGGTACGCTTACGTAGGGTGAATATGTACCTGAAGCTCAGATTAAGTGAGGAGCGGGAGGGGGGGGTGTTGTAAGTAGAGTAACTAGTACAAGAAGTATTTTCGAAACTACTCAGAGAAGTTATGTACCTTGTACCATTGAGGTTCAATTCTTATCGTATCATGGCTTTTAAAGTATTATGATTATTCATCGAGTTTCCAGAAAAAAGAGGGGCGAGTACATTGTGGCAAGCCAAGCAGATGACAGAACAAGTACCGCCTGCATGGCCGGAGGCCTGTCGCGTGGGGGTAGACAGGCTGTATAGAAGAAAGAAAATAAGGAGTAAATTAGACGATGAAAGGGATTTCATGGTATGGCGGTGTTTATTACATTTAGCGGTGGGAGGAGGTGAGAGTCAACGCAGGGGGCAGTTTAGGAGAGAAGAGAGGCGAGCCGTATTGAGATGAAATCATTGGACTGTGAAGACAAGCAGATGCTCTAATTCGGCAATGTTGAGGATTCATCCCTTGTTCGTTCGGTTAAAGAATAAGAATGAAATAAGAGGGATAAAAAGGGATGGAAGCTATTCAAATTAAGGCCGAGAAAATAAAGCAACGTGTAGTGAGAACGCGGGGAGGGAGCCCAGACTTAATGTGGAGAAGAAGTCGATGGTGTTTAAGACGGACTGGGAAACAGCTTTGTCTAGAGCCAGTGTTTGTTTTACCGTTCCGGACTACTGTAGAAAGTGATGGCGGTTCATACAGAGGGCAGCTCGGAAAAGAGGCCCAACGCTCATCTGGAGTCAGAGGGGAGGCGGGGGCGTCAGGGGTGAGCGAAGTGTAAGAACACAATAGATTCTATATCAGGTGAAATTCAGCCGTAATGAAAACAGTAGGCTAGGAATCTAGTAAGTCATTCTGACAGATAGAGCCTCCTACATAGGAATTGTTTCACCACGAAAGAAATGTTTGAACCGTGTGGTAGAGCTCAGGGTGGTAGGATTAGTTGTAGAAGCTTTCCCGCAATGCAGGCGAACAGTCGAGGCAAGCGGGCCAAGAGTTCTTCTCTGCTGTTTGGTTCTCAGAATCTCATCCTGAAGGTTGCTCTGCTGTTTGGGTCAGAAGTGAGAGTCAGAGCGCATGGTGCTCAGAGGTCGTGAGAGCGTGTAGACTGGCCGCGCTGTGGTGGTGTTGTGCTTGAAAGCCAAATTGGATGGTGAAGCATGGAACGAAGGGGGAGGCGGCGCTTTTCACCCGGGATATGTTCCCTGCTGATGGCTTGACAAAAATTGAGTTAAGGGGTTGTATTAGGTGGTGGGCTCTCAGTAGGGGAATTAATATGAGTAGCGAAATAGATAGATGTGCGTATGCTTGAAGGGGCGGGACGGTGAGAGGGTACAATAGCGTCACTTGAAATGATGTGGTACATGGTCACCCAGTATTGAAGTAAATTAGACAAAAGGCTTTTGATTTTGGCGCTTTGCGAGTTTTTTGAAAGAGGTGGCGGCTGGAGGGTGGGTTTTGCGAGTGGGAGTTTAAATGATCTAAGGATGAGAGGAGGATCAGTGTTAAGAAGTATAAAAAGAAGAATGGTTAAATGTGCATTATTGAAGGCGCTAGCCCTTATCCAGCCCGCTGATGGATCGCGTTCACAAGTTGTTGCCCTTGCTAGTTTGCTGATACTCATGCGGGCGGACAGAGGGAGGCGAGTGTCTCGGGGAAGCCAGTGATCTGCCAGTGCAATGAGGTTGGAGCGATGGGTGATTCATAGCAATCCGCAGGGATTAGTCCCCAGGCAAGAGTAGGGGTGCGGTGGAGGCACGGAATTAGGACCTGATGACGGAGCGTATCAGTTATTGTAGTAGTGGTTGAGTGGTAAGCTGAGATACGTAGATAAGGGGGGAGTGCGTGTGGTGCGTGCACGGGTTATGGATGTACCGGGCAGGTATAGGGACTGGCATGATGTGGGTCAGCGCTGTCACAGTTTAGGTGTTGAGGGTGAGGGTGCACGGATGTATATGAATGGGGAGCGGGTAGGCAGTGCTGGAGTATTGTTTGATTCTAGGTTTGATTAGGGCTGCCCCTGACGTAGGCGATACGAAGAGAAGAGGGAGAGGGGGGGACGCGGCGGTATTGGATGGCGTGTCTCCCTCTCTTCTTTAGATACCTCACAGAGACTTGGAGCGTGTCTCTGTCGTCCAACAGATGTGTTCTGCCTCCAAGCCGGCTCACACGGTTCAAAGTTCAGAAGTGTTGTTACATCGGGGTTGGAGGAGGGAGCGGGAGCCCTCCGCTGCGGTGTGTTGCAGTGGCAGAGAGACTCTGAGGTCTCTTCGATGCTCCACGATGTGAGGGAGCAGGCGGAAGTTGATCAGGGGGGGGGACGGGAGGGCCTCAGCCTGCAGAGAGCTGTTAATTATTTGCTTCGTTGTCCACCGAGCTGGGGGTGTTTGCTAGGGCAGGGAGGGAGCAAGGGGCCTGCTGTCAGTTGGCTCTGTGGGGGCTCCGTGCAAGACGCGACAGGTCTGACACGCAGTTGGTGCCGTTGCGAGGGTTCTTCAGCAGAAAGCAGAGAGAGCGGCGCGGTGGGTATGGGCAGGCGGGAGAGCGAAATGAAAAGGTTAAGTGAGCGAGGGCAGCAGTTCAGGGCTGATGCATTTATGGAACTTTCGTGCTTATTATGAGGGCGTGCCCTCGAGATGTAGAGGCGCGATTGTCTGATGGGGCAGTTCGTTACTGATTAAATGTTGGAAATAAAGGCCGTATTTGAAATGGCATGCTTGATGGTTTGTTGCCACCAGCGTGCGCTGGTACGACTGGCATGGATCCAGGGCTGCTTTGATCGGTATCGCCGGGTGTCATGCCGCCTGTTACCAGGGACGCTCAGCATGGGATTTGCACTGACACGCCATGGCAGGCCACTGGTTTTGGCGCCGCCGGGTTTGAGACATGGCAGCTGTGGTCATCTGGGACACGGAACCTGAGCGATCGCAGGTCTCTCCAAAGAAGCGTGCTGATTCCAATGGCTGAAGTCAATTCAGAGAAGCGGCTCGAGTTGCTGGGGTTATATTGTTGATGGAGTTGGTCGACAGAGCAAGAAGTTTTGTGTTGTTTGACGTCTGGCCTGTCGTTGTGTGGTCCTTGTGCGTCTGAGATGGGTTGGAGGGGGTGTTCAGGAGGGGTTGCGGCGAGGAAGAGGGTGGTCGGGTCGGGGCGCTAAGTGCGAGGCAGAAGCTTGGAGTTTCGGATGGAGGCAGAGTAGCACAGGTGCCACGAAAGTGAGATGACTTGAAGTTAAGCCTGTGGGGACTTCGGGGAGAGAGGTGTGTGGGAATATATTGCAGGGTGGCAAACTAGGACGAGGACACTTAAGGGGTCTTTTTCAGTTTTCTGTACCGTGCTCCATGGCGAACCGTCTGAAGCGATCGAGGTTCGGCTTAGAGTCCTGCTGCTCGTGTGAGCAAGAGTGAGGTTGTGGGATTAAAACGCCCCAGTGAAGAGGCTAAAAGGGAGGCGGTTACACGCGAGAGGCGTTGAGGGGGCCGGCGCAGGTGCACCCACATTGCGGGCGTAACCTTGGTGTGTCCAGAAGGTCAAGAGCCAGTATATACGGACGGGTGCCGCGAGTGGTATGAGGAGGGTCGACTTGTGTGGTGGGCGCAAAGGAGAAGTCAGGTGTTTTAGAGCGACCGAGAAGGCGTAGGAGGAAGGTGAGATGGATGGGCTGTTGCTTGCGTGTGGTTGCTGGGGGTGGGCGCCGGTGCCGAGCCGAATGGGGTGGATCGGGTTCTAGCTTTGAAGCGAGGTTGTGAGGCTTGGCGTATTGGCACCAGTGCCGTGTGTGGGTAGGTTTGGCGGAGGCTTATAGGAGTACTTTTTACCAAAAGCACAGGTTATGGGTCGCGCAACGGAGCAAGGTGTTGGGGCCTGGAGACTTCAAGGAGTGCCCTTGGTAGGTGTCGGGTCCCTATAGTGTCAGTTCTGGATGTACCTGCCATTAAAGTTAGTTGACGTAGTGGGGGTGTATAAATTCCAAAATATCACATTGTGATATTTTGTTTTGTGACATTGTATCCATTCTCAAAAACTCTGTTTTGATGTCTATGTTTAAACCACCAACCAATAGATAGCAGTGTTGTAAACTGAATCCATGAGTTGTAAATGTAAAATGAGGGCTATAATGTTGGATGTTACAGGGACTGTGATAAATATAAATCTAGATCACACTGTTTGTTAATGAAAAAATCTAATTAAAAAAGTATTTTTTTAAGTCGCAATATATTACAATATATTGAACTGTAACCTTTGTGACACATATTGTATCACCAAATTCTTGCCAATACACAGCCCTATGACGCAATATAAATTAAGAGAAAGTCCAGATATGGAGGTGGTGGGATGGATGGATGGCTTAAACAAACACAGGACTTTAACTCTCAAATTTAAGTTACGTGACAGTAACGTGACACAATCTTTTCCTCAAGCTAAACAAGTAGTTTTGTGTCTAAACATAACCAAACTGCGACCGTTAACAACACAAGTTTTATTTTGAAAATCAGAAATGACACTAGAACGGTACCTACAGCATGATATTTTGAAGCTTAGGACCCCTGAACAAGCGAGAGTATTTGATGAGTTGGGAGAGTTGAGAGCCAAACCTTAACCATAGCTTAACTGTTTTGTAACAGTGATTTGCATCAGTTTTGGCTCAGACAAATGATGTCATCCTACTGACAGTAGTGTCAGACCAGAAAACACTGAAAACACTTTTACGACTGACAGGCTCAGATTGTTATTCGAAGTGTCTGATAACATTATGGAAAGAATCCCTTCAGACCCTACAGGTTTGTTTAAGCAGAAGTAGCCCTAATATTGCTCTCACTTGCCACCAGACATATCATCAAACAAAATAAAACTAATGAGTTTTATTTTTATTTTTATTCACCAATGTAGAAGAGAAAAACAGCCATTTCAGGCACTCTCCTCAGTTGCAGATTAAGGGGAATAATATGCACTAACATACACAGGGCTATGTAAACAGGCTGTGATAGCAACACAGGTCAAAGGACACCATGACTCCACTATATCTTTACATAGCAATTAGTTAGTTACTGCTATATTAATGTTCTAAATTTCATATAAATAAAACCTGCTCTTGAGACATCCTGGGAGCAGTAGCAGCACTCTCATATTTAGTACATATTTGCTCTCTTTTCCATCATGGAGTAAAATGACATGAAATACTTTCCTGTGTTCATTTCATCTTTTCCTTCCACTCTCTCTCTCCTCCCTCTGTTTTAATAACTCTGAGACCCTCCATAGGTAACTGTAGCACCATGAATTGCTAGCCCAGCCAACATATTTATTTCATAGATGCATAATTAAATCTCACGTTCCCAAAATAAATTAAATCCCACAAACATCAATTTACAGCAGGAATAAGCTGTCGAGGTGCTTTATTGAGATGTATGAGCTGGAGGGTGTGAGCTAAATCAGCGGAGGAAGGTGACAGGATAACTCACCCCCACCGCTACCACCCAATCCGCAAGCCTGGTGTTCTCAACAGTGCCTGAATAACTTTCTTTGAACGGTCACAATGTGAGAAATAAATAATAAAATTACAGAGTTATTTAAATTTCCTTTTTTTTTCCATTTCCATACTCATTGTTCGGCTTAGACAGACACTGACCGGCTGAATAAATGTATCCTTTTGGTACTCTAAGCCCTTTCATCTAGATTGTGGTTAAAAATGAATTGATTCAGCCCTGGACTGAAACCATTCAGAAAGTTATTACACTGACTCACTATGACAGACAGTTAAATCACTTGAGAGTACAATGGTCTAACTCAAAATGTCGGGGATGTTCATTCCCAACAGGTTTTTTATTAGCTGCTTTGTCCTTGTTCTCTCACCATCTTGGCCTCTTGGATGCGGCAACTGGCTGCCTCCTAAATTCCTGTAATTACGTTCTACATTGTGAGTACTCCTTAGCCCTGATAAGATTAAGATTCAGATGAAATATGTCATGCCGGGTTCCCCTACTCCCATCATTAACATCTCCTTTCCCCTGAGCGTTTTCTGCATCTCATCACTGACCACTGGATTTAACCCTCTTAATTAAACTGTACCCTCTGTGCAATTAGGAGAAGACCTCGGATATATCAATTTGGATGAAACTTTAATTTCTTGCTCTCTGGTCTGTCCGGCTCTGGAACAAATCTGAGTAGGAATAGCTGCACATCACTTCAGCTTATGATAACATACTCTTCTAGTTGTGGTAATGCTAAATGCAATGCAGTCCCCCAGACACCAAAGACATCCATTTGTGGTGTGCACCATTTAGGGCTCATTTTAATCTTTAATGATGTCTTTGCACATACATAATAAAACACAGGAAGCAAGAGAGAAAAGTGGCTACGAACTGTGGAGGTGGAAGTTTTAAAATCTGATGAGGAAAGAATACAAATGAAATTTAGAGGGGGAGCTAACAGAAGCCCATTTATACACAGTACTCCAATCGCAGCTGAGCAACAACCTCGGACAACTTTTCTGGAGGAGTATCTGCACTGATTTTATAACAAGAGCTGAATATTGGACTGCAAGATTGTCATTCATTAAAATAAAAATTGCTCATCTACAGTTTTCTCTTTCCTGGTTTGCTTCCATTCCATAAATTGCAAATGCACATTTCTGTGGAGGCTTTCTCATCAGGGACCTGGGCATGATCTGAGTACAATCGACCCCAAAGTCTAGTTTGCTTGATTAGTGTGTATTAGGGTTGATTGGGTATCAAATTAAATATCTGTACTCGGAAATATACTTTGATCTTAAGCTCAATTCTGAGGCTGTTCTGTTTAATGTTTTCAATAAATATGGTGACTTCTGATTAATTTCAGGCTTAAATGAGCTACTTCTGGTTAGTCCCACCCATGCCCTATTTAAGCCCCACCCACTCCAAATACGGATACAAATACAGATCGTTTTGTTGGTTGAATAGATACAGATAATAGTGTATTTGCTCATCCCTAGTGTAAAGACTGTGTACTGTAACGGTTTCAACTTGAAAAGGTGGTCTCAAGTACGGTTCATGTGTACTCGGGTACAATTCACATCAGATGTGAAAACAACCGTACCAAAACACTAAAGTACACTGCTATTTTTTAATGATTTCTTGGGATCATCATTCACTTAATGGGCCATTTAGTTCCTCTCCCTCCCCAGCAATGTGCCGATGTAAGCTCCGCCAGAAAGTGAAACTTAAGTTCTGTCTGGTAGTTTACTTGTGTAACCTTAATTAATAATGTGTTCCCTTTCCGTTATTTTGGTACTTTATTTTGAGTTTTAACT